TTGCTGTGTATATTTCTGCAGTCATGTGACCTGTCAGAAGAGAGACTATAATAATATCCAGTTAATTTTAATACATAACAAGAGGAGTGGCGCTTTCTTTGATGTTGTGCTTGTAACACATTGCTCCGTATACAGGTACAAGAAATAAATATGAGGGTTGAAAGAACACTGATCTTTCAACTTTGATCTCTTTGCCTCCCAACTTATTTCTGTCTCAGTTACTATGAAGTCTACATTGCGAGGAGAATGTTACAGAGTTTCTCCCCTCAGCTGGAAGAAAAATGTCAAGGTTCAAGTAAGGAAAAGTAAAGAAAGAATTCTGATTAAAGGAATTACATTTATCTTGAAATTCTCTGCTCACTTGAAGCTACCTTTGTGATTGTCTGAAAAAGCAAAATGAATATGAAACACGATGGGGAGCTATTTTAATGAACCATCTCTAGCTCTTGGGGCCTCTAGCTAATATAATTTAGTTTAGATTTTTTATTTATTTTGATTGTTGTTCTTTAAGTGGTTCTTTAGAGGCTATTACAGGCTGAACTGTTACGTAGTAATGACCACAAGTAAGTAGAAGAAAATTAAAAATTTTAAATGTTTTTCCACAGTACTTACTTGCTTCTAAAATTTGTTTAAATAAAAGATACCTAAACATTGCTGAGGAGCAGAAAAAAAAAAGCCAGTTTCTTCCTGAATATCTGAAGGACTGCCAGCTTCTGCCAGGATCCTTTTTGCTAATTATTCCCTAGAGTGGCTTAGGCGTCTCTTTAACTTCAAGCGTAGTGCGCGGCCCCACGGAAGTCGTGGGATTATTTATAAGCTTTGAGATAGGCAAGCACTTCAATTGTGTTGTTGAGTCAGTTGTTCAATCATACGCTCTTGGGGGTGCGGCAGGTTTTTTTTTATTTATATTTCATATAGCTCTCACTATATCCTCCCTACAAAATTGCATCAGTTGTCAGCAATTACAGTTGGGTTTTTTTCCTACGTGCAAGTAAAAAGGATTGGTTTTGCTGTAAGAATACATAGTGCGGTGTTCTTGACATTATAGATCAATAGATTCGCCTTGTGCTGCCAGGAAATAAAATGCTGAGCCACCTCATCTTGTAATAATGCAATAGACAGATCCATTAATGCACACACTGTTATTTTGTGTCTGAAAATAGTTGAGGACAGAGATATTTTTTTCCCCATGACTAGTCTGAAATAAACATTGGAATTGATAAAGTAAGGTAAATAGCCTTTGGTTGAATCATGCCTTTTGTCATAACCTCGTAACTGTGCGCGCCTAATCACAGCAACCAGAGTAACAGTGATTTTGCTTGTTTGGGGCAGAATAGCTAAAAATGGAATTTTCAGATCAGAGGAGATGTACAGTATTAGCTATGTTTGCCTTATCTGGTAACATGATTCTCCAGGGGAAATGAGCACTTTTAGTGTTAAATAAGGGCTGCAATCTATTGGAAAATCATTAAGAAATATGGTAATGAAGTTGGAAGGTAATTAAGATCAAGGAGAAGCACTCAGCTACGCTTTACGTGACCTCTTTTTTGATGCTGACCAATTACTCCCTGGTGTTGTTATCTGTCATACTGCTATGGTTCCCATTATCATAGGATCTGAAAACTTCAGTCAAAATACAGTCTTTAATGTACCTATTGTTACAAATCCGTTGGGGGGGGGGGGGGGTGATATGGGGAAACACAATTAAAGGGATTAAGGGAATGGCTCAGGGACAAACAGCAAGTCTGTGCATGTTTCTCAAACCCCAGGTTAGCATTCCAGCCCTTCGGTCTTACTTTCTTACTGTTAATCTCACTATTTATTAAGAATTTGAATAATTGATTATGGAAGCAGATACTTTGGTAGCTGTGATGGCATTAAATGCTAAAAATGGATTTCAGCAAATAGTTGTGCTGCTTATTTGAGTAGAATAGGATCTCCACAGGCTGTTCTGGATACAGCAGTAACTCATCTGGATGTTGGTCACATTCTTCACTAGTACTTGTCTTAGTGCAGTGTCATACCTGAGGCCTTTGGTCATTAACAGGAAAATAAATCGGCATTGGAGGTGCAGTGCCACAGAAATTGCACTTCATTTCTGGGTAATGGCAGTAGTCGGCCATGAACACTGCACAGTGGTAAATGGAATGGAGACCTCAGTGAAAAAATACCTTTAGATATATGTGTTAGAAAGCATGGACACTTCAAGATTCAGTAAATGTGATTTTGTGTGTGTGTGTGTGTGTGTTAAAGGACAGCTATAGCCAGAATTGATTGCCGAATTCATTTTGTGTGACGATCAAATGATGGAAAGGCACTGCTTCCAAAGGCACTGCCTGTTCTGTATCACAGGTTGGGGATTTAGTTGTCTGTCTCTGCTTCAGCTTTAAACCTGGTAGCAGAAATATTTTTTAAAATGAAACTGGATAACCTTCACAGATACCAGCTTCCTGCAAACGGCAGAAAAAAAATCATTTGGGAAATCTTTCGGTAGATCTTAAAAATGTTTCAATCGGTGAATTTGGGAATTACAGGGAAAGTGAAAGTTGTTTTTTTAAGTTTCACAGAACAGTAATGTAGAAAGAGTATTTTGTTTTATGATAGTGAATTTGAAGTTCTACAGATAGTTTTCTTTTTTTTTTGTTTCTTTGTTTCTTGCTTTTAGATAAGCCTAATAGATGCTTTAAAAAAAGATTTCATCTTTATTTATTTACAGTATTCTTAGTGGAAGTGGATTATCCAATACAGAAACTGTGTAGATATGAATTTGATTTAAACTATTCTTTCATTTCCAGTGGATGTGTATCTGATCCCTGACAGCGGTCTATACCTTTTGCTTGAAAGGAATATTTTAAGGCTTCCAGAGGTAGTAGACAGTACTTTGCTAACTGACATTATGGTTTTATTTTCCCCGAACATCATTTAAATATTTCATTTGGTGATTGATTTTTCTGTGTGCTATTTCAGTCCAGGTAATAATTGCACGTGATGGTAAATGGCTGGTGTTGCTCTCTCTTTTGTCCAAGAAAAAGATGATTAGATGTAATCTCAAGCATATTGTTTAGATATTTTTGTTTGTTTAATCTTAGTGTGCACTGCCTCACTGAAGGATAAACTTGGTGGGTGCTGGGGTTTAGGGAAGTGAGTCAGATTCAATTTCTGAACGTACAGCAAAGGGAAAAGCATTCCCAAGAGCTTGTTATGCTGCCTGTCCAGCTTTACAATGCACTGCAAAGCTGGTCCTTTGTTGTCAAAGGCTCATGTGCCATGAAAGTTATCATACATAGTTGATAACAGGAAGCTGAGCACAATGCTTTAATTCAGCTGGAAGATTTTGCAAATGTCATCAGTTGGAAAAGGAAATTGTCACCATGTGGCCCTAGTTAAGCCTCAGATAGAAACATAGTAGTGTTTTCTCTTGCATTTTTTCTTGGTTGCAAATTGTAATAGAAGAATAAAGGGCAAAGTGATGTTTCATGTATGTTTTGGACTGAACAGGGAGAAGAAATCAATACATAAAGTTACATTTGCTTTCTTATTTCTGAGTTAGTTTAGCAAAATAGTTTGTGCCTGCAAATACCTGTTAAGGTATAAAACTGAGATCCAATTTGCAGTGCACCACCTCGGGAAGTGGGCTTTTGAAGAGTTAATGTTTGATGCAGTGTAAGATGACTTAAAAGTAGCTTCATCCTATTCAGACTGGAATGTGCCATTATCCTTTCATGAAGACATTCACAGGCTTCATGGACTTCACAGAACTCATAACAGTTCTTCACTACTGTGTTTTGCATGCGTGTTCTGCGAAAACAGGTGTTTTGGATGGAGTTTGGCTAATGATTAGTTATAATAGCAGTGAAGAAAGTTCTTGACTGGGCAGCTTGATAACAAACCTATATGGGAGACTCGTGCTTAATTGGGTTGCTCAGCTGAGTTATAATACAAATCATTTTGCTTCTGATATCACTTTAACCTGAGCTAGCCCTTTTCAATAAGCCATTCTTTTTTTGCGTGTAGAGCGTAGAGGTGCCCTGTGGCTTTGGGGTCTTTATGTTCCTCCCGCCATAGGCAGTAGTATAGCTTACCTTATAGAACCTTGTAGGGGTTGAAACCAGTAAACTGACTTGATAGAGACCTGCAGACACTAAAATTCATATCTGTGTGGATCCTTCATAGCCTTTACCACAATAAAAGATACCAATGCCTCTGAGTTCTTTTTTAAATATATCTTATGCTTTTATAGACAATAAATTGTTGAAGTAAGATTAAATACTAGTAACTAGGCTTTTCAATCTGTTGTGAGTAAAATTTACATGTAGATGTACCAGCACAGATCTCTTTTTAAAGTGTCTGCTTAGTAGTAGCAGTGCTTAATATGGACATCAGCAATCATGTGATCTCTACTAAATATTTTTTCATGAGTGGATATGATCTTAGTGAGGAAGCAGCAAGCGTTAAGTGAATGGAGAAAACACACGGGTGGTGGACAAGGAGAATGTTTGTTTATGAGGAACACTTATTCTTCACTGGTAATGGTCACCTGAGTCATGAGAGTATAGCCAAAGCCGTTCTGCAAGTATCTGGCTAAAGAGGTGTCATTGATCTTGTGATTTATAGTGGATTTTCTTACGCTTTTTCTCCCCAGGTTGGTCTGACAGTGCTCTGCCTTTGTCTCTGAAGAGCAGAGCAGAGACAGGTATGTGTGGCCACTGCAGCTGGCCAGGAGCAGGACTGCCGAGTCAGTTCTCATTTATTTTCTTCTTATCCAAGATAACAAGATCAGATGGACTTCATGCTCCAGTGAGTGAGCTGAGAAAATACCCTCTTCCTGTTACTCCTGGCCATGGTGCCCTGGTTCTTCTGAAATATGTTGTGTTAGAAAGTACCAGAAAATATGATGATGATAGTGCCTGGGCTCTTTTTTTTTGTGTTTATGCCCCAGAAGATATACAGCATTGGGAAGCAGTGCATGGTAATATACGATGAACTACTGGTGCTCTTACAGCAGCGGACATGTCGGCTTGCTGGAGTATGTTATAACACATTTCAGTAGTGGTGGTAATTCTGTTTCTGGGCTCGAGCTGAGTGAATATTTTATATGTACCACTGATTGGAGCATAATCCCAACAATATTTCCCCTTGTGTGGCACGAGAATGGATTTCGTTGCAATTTCAAATTATTTTCTGTAAACTGTTGGAATATAATAAGCCGAGATGCTTTTTAAGGACTAAAACATGATTACTTCAAAAGCCACAAAGTAGCTTTGCGCTACCGGTTTTTAAAGCTCAGCAGATTTTATGTAGTACCTGAATTATTAATGGACGTAAATTGGAAGAGGAAGCTCTGTTGTCTTACCAGTCTCAAGCAAGCAGTAGTTGGTTGGCTTTGCAGAGAAAGGCAGCTCCTTCCGAAGCAATGAGCGAACAGGTCCTGGGTGAGAACGGCTTGTGTCAGTACGCCCAGAAGATGACTGCCTGTTTTGGACATTTAGGTAAAGAAATTAAATATGTGCATGTGGATCTTTTGGTCTCCGTTATGTGGATGAAGTGTTTCCTCAAGTTTACAGTAAATAGCTGAGTGTTTTGTACATCAGCCTGCAGTCTTGAGTAAGTAAATTGTGTGTGTCAAAAGTGAAAAAGCTGCACGGTTTGGGTAATTTTACCACAAGTAGAAGGGGTTTGTTTCTTTGTGTGTGTGTGTGTGTGTTAGAGAAATGGAATGTTAGAATGATTTTTTGCTCTCTCTTGCTGTTTTAGTTATTTTATTGCTTGGATAACTATATTTCTTGGTACAAATAGACATAGTGCTTGGTCATTTTTCATTTACGTGAAGGCCCTTTATTTTTTTCTCTCCTTGCTCTGTGCCTGTGAGAATTCTTACAGGGGAAAACATGGTAGTCCTGTTGCCTTGGACAGATGCATGAAACATTATTTGGGGCTATCTACCTGTGCAATAAATACGTTACCTTCTGAAGTGGTATGAGGGAAAAAAGAAGATTTACTTTTGATTTACTTTAGTTTCTGTGGTTTTATTTTGATTTTTCTTTGCAGCTAGGTTTTGCTGAACTAGCATGACTGACTTCAATTTCTTGCTTTTTTGGTTGCGGGTTTTGTTGCCTTCAATACAACAATAAAGTCACACTGAAATGCATTTGCAGGAAGTTTAATTCTGATGGCAGAAGCAATTAAAGACAGCATTACTGCACTACACATTTCTGCCTTTTATTTAGCCAAAGGGCCAGTTTAATTCTCAGTGTTACTCAGGAGGATGGAGGGATATTTTTTCTTCTATGATTTTAGCCCTCGGTGTCTAATTTTTGCTATTCTTCAGTGCCTGATATTCTGTTGTGCAATTCATTTGTGGATTGCAGTCAAATTTTTTTTGTTACTTCTGTTCTAGTAGCATTAGTACAGAAGCCTCTATTCCTGGTTGTATATGAAACATATATGTATTTTTAGCATCCGGGCAGCCAATTGGTTTGGTGAATTCAGAGGGGATATAGGAAATGGTCTTGAGACGACTGAAAATATTTATAAATAAAATTATTTATAAAGTCGGTAATGAGATAAAACATTTAAAGTAGCTAATGTGTCTAATTCCTGTCTCATATCCAGTCCCTTGTGGAAACTGTCAGTCTGGAAAGTGCCCATACCTCAAACTGTGCTCTGTGAAGGCTTGAGCTCTCAGCACTGAATATTTGGATTAGGCACGGCTTTGAATTGGCAGTGATTTAAAACTAGTTTGCTACTTGGCAGATACTGAGGAAATTTCCTCAACACTACTTCTGGGTCGGGTGCCCTGCATTCCCAAGCATGTATTTCAAGAAGCATAAGGACAGGGTTGTGCCCTTTTGTTTTCTGCCTTTTCTCTTCAGCAAGAATATTAGAAATCAATCTTTTCCACTTAATTGAGTGCTTGACTTAAGTGCTAGGAGATTGCCGCTGTCTTTTTGATTCTGGCGAAGGCTAAATCCCAACGCGTGGGAACAGTGTGTTGTACAAGGCTGTCTCAGGCCTTGTCCTTTACGTTGGACACAAGGATCTGACCCTCAGACCAACTTCTCCAAACAGCCCTTCATCAGACATGGGAAGCCGCTGTGATGTTTCCTGGTCTTGTTTTGCTCACCTTTACTTCTTGTCTTCGTAGATGAATTAACAGGATGGAGGCTCTTCAAGATGTACCCTGTACTTAAAAAACATTAACAAAAAATCATATCGCTTTGTGTTGTAAGCAGCAGCTAATATGTGGTCTTTGAGACTGTAGTTATCAGACAATGACAGCAATAGCCAGGGCTGGACAGGGGCATCATTAGAGTACTCTCTCTCAAAGGAAGGAGGACCTTATTTTTAATTAAGCAGGTTGCTGCTACAGTGACATGTCAGGGTCACAAAATGCTAGTCTAAACTGAGCTGTTCCCATGTCCCTCACCAACCCCACACGTCTTAGTGGCGGAAGGTGACTGGATTGCACTTCACTGTTTGCAATGACATTGGACCCTTCTACAGGGGTCACAGGCTGACTGCTTCTGTAGTGGAGCTACTGTGGAAAAAGGGCGCCGATCTCTGCTGCCTCTCAAGCTAACACTGGAGTTGCTCTGCGTGCGGAAGTCATGTCTGCCAAGTGCAGGGACAGATTCCTGCATGGCGGAAGGTGGGTTCGGCCTCACGTGCCTTTGCTCTGCCCTTTCGCCTGTAATCACTTGGTTGCAACTCTTCTGGGCAAACTGCAAGTTAAAGGAATCGATAGAGGCTTCGTACAGCTTACATGCTGTTTGATTCCGTGGGAGAAGACTGCAGTTTCTTCTGACTACTGCTACACAACAGATCCATACTAGTTTAGTACTTACTGCGTGGGCTGGCGTAACAACTGTCCAGGTGAATATAGCTGGAAGGTTGGAATCAGCATGGCTTCAGCACAAAACTGGGAGTCAGTCTTAAACCAGTGCTGCGTTCAAACTCCAATGAGAGACAAGCTTTTCTTCTAGGATTTAGGCAGCCAAGCTGTGGCAAAAGTTGCAGCAGCTTAAAAAGTTACTGCAGAGCTCACCTTTCTGCTTTCTGAGGACTAACTTCTGCGGCAGAGTTAATGTCAGGGCAATGTGTACTTTTGCCTCTCCTACCTCAAAGGGCAAAGTCCACCTTGACGTGTTGGTGAGGCTGGATAGTTGGCACTGCTCTTGTCAGATGTCAACATCCTTCACCGGTTATCCAGCAACAAACGATACCCTTATACTAAGCTGAAAGATACTTCTGTTAGAGTGCATCCAGCCCTCTCCTGTGAGTCATCCCTCTGCTTTAAGCACAGAATGGTGATCCACCTTCAGCTGAAGTAGTAGAAGCTTTTGGAGATTCAGAAGAACTGTCTTTTCCTCTGAGTGGCTGTGGTGTGCAGGTCAGTAGGTTATGAAATCTGGGAGAGACTGAAAAATTGCTGCAAAGCTTTGTTTCCTAGGGGGAATACTTAAAACACAGCATTTGCTGAGATTTGTGGTCTGATAGAAGATACTCCAAGGCAGAATTCGAATTGCTGTATTTATTGAGCCAGCTCTTCCTGAAGTATACATTAGCATCACCCCATTAAAATTAGTGCAGTGGTGCAGATTTATTCTGGCTTTGTCCCACTGTGTCCATGATTGATTATAAAACCCAGGGGAAGCACAGAGGGACTGTGATTTTGGGCTTGTTTTCAAGATAACATAGAAGTCATACTACTTGAAAAATAAAAAGCACTTGACCTTATAGGAGGTGTGTAATAATAGATGATCAAAGTCTGGATTTGTGAAATGATATTTTCTCTTTAAAATAGTAAATAAAGCAGTCTTCTCTTCAAAGCCTGTCCCCGTGTGTAGATAGTACTTGAGCTCTGGATTTTGAGGGAAGAAAACCAGGACAGACAGTTTCTTACTGTGCTCAGTAAGCCTATTGGTGATTTTCTTTCGCCTTCTACTTTAGCAACAGCCTTACTGGAAGCAGTGCAATTATTAAACCAGGTCATTTTGCAGCTATAGCTAACTTATGTATGTTAGGGGGAACTGAAAGCCTGGGCCAAACACTGTCTGTGCAGTTGTCTCTGGGAGTTTGGCTGAACAAAGAATCTGAATTTGTCTCTGAGCAGGTCCTGGTATGGGGTCTACCTGTAAATTCCTCTTACAGATGATGAATGCTAGTTTAGGTTGTGTTTTTTTCTTTTTTTTTTATCTTTTGCTTTGGAATTTCCTGTGAATTTGCAGTGCCCCATCGATGATTAGCTCTGCCTTTACCCAGGGAGAAATATTCATTAGATGATTAGATTAGCAAGTCACTGGAATTGGATTAATGTAAATACTTCTTGCAAGTGAAGCAGGAAGGGTTGGCACAGTGTGTGCAGAGCTTCTCCTGTCAGCTACACAGAAAAGTGGAGAGGAAGAGCACAAGAGACCCAATCCTTAATAGTTAGGGGAAAGCTTAAGTGCTTTTGTTTGGAATAGGCAATGAAAGCTGCAGAAAGGATTTTGCCAAAAAAATCTGTTTATCAATTAGTGCTGGCCAGCCTTTGTACGGTCCTCAAAAGGAGGACCAACATGCCCTACCTTTACTATGACCTTCCTGCAGTACGGCATGTACAAACCTGGCATGGAACAGGGGCACGGTAGATTAAATGCACAGATGTGCATTTGTAGCTTATGATGATGATTCTTCTGTAATAAGATTTTTGACACAGCAAGGTTTTTTGATTTTTAAACTAATCCTCTTATGTACCTCAGTTACGTTCTTTCTCGTCCTGAATATTAATCTGATTTTCAGATAACTCTTTATGGTTTTGCTTCTGATTTTTGCATTCCCAGGGATGAGTTGCAACTGATTACAATAGTTTTAGATGGCAGTCACCTGATCAAGCATACTGCCATAATCTCTTGAAGATAATCACTAAAAATATATCTTCCTTAATCTCCTTTGCTGGATAAGAGAAAAAGAGAAGGATTGGCAAGGGCAGTGTGCCGTGAGTAGTAGACTGACTGCATACACTACAGGTTGC